AGCCAACCTGACCCTTAACTTGTTGAGTCTGAAATTGGTCACCCTAAACTGAGCAGGGCTTCCTGCTGAATACACATGCTGGAAAACTGCAGCCTAAATTATGTACAACTCTTGAGTTACTGTAAGAAGAGCGCTGATTTCTTGTAATTTCTTGTGTTTACATCGGCAAAACTGTCTTTAAAAACATCCCACATGAATGTCAGTGACAGGAAAGCATATTGTTTTCTGTAAAAAGATCCGAAGCATCAAAGGTTTGACTACAACAGGAAATGGAACACTTCTGAAGTTTGGCAAGTTTGAAATGGGAGAGGATGAGGTTAAACGTGCTGAGAATGCATTCCAAAATGAAGAATCCTGGCCCTTAACCCAGTTTTTGTTTTCAAACACGATAGCATGTGATTGTGAATAGGATATCTTGGCACCTTTCCCTTAGTGCTAAACTTCCGCTGGAAGTTAAACAGGAATTGGCAGAGAAGTGGCCCAGGCACAATCTCTTTACAGGTTGAGCAAGAATTTTTGCTGCTATAATTGCCTCCCCATGGAAATTGGCAGGCTGGTTTTAATAATTTATCTTATTAAAATCATATTGGGTGGCTAACAGCTTTAAAAACAGCAAACAAAAAAAACTGCCCTTTTTATGACCCCATAATCCCTTAATTCCCAGGTAAGGATGGCTGGATAAGAGCTGAGTGTTTATTGACTGGATGACCTTCCTGACACCACATGGAGTTTACAGTAGATTTTTTTTTCTTTGCGCCCTAGGAGATAAATATTTGCCGCTACCTAGAGTTCCCTTCTAAGCGGGAGGCGAACGTCTTCACCATAGGCCAGAGTTCCCCAAACTTTCTGGCTTTGTGGATTGGTAGGGAGGGGGGAAAAGGAGGATGGTTTTGTGCAAGTGGGGGGCAAGATTGCATGCAGCTCCATTTGCGTGAGCAGCAGGCATGCGTGCCACTCACACAAATGGAACATGCACAAGTGGGGATGCATGGGCATGCATGCTCGCCTAACGCTTCTGTGGCCTGGTTCTGAACCATGACCCAGGGGTAAGGGACCCCTGCCACAGGCCACCACGCCACTCTTTAAAAAGAGAAAATAAATACATATAAAAAGTTTGGGAAAAACAAGAGTACCCACGTAGACACATGCATAAATATATACCTGCACAGATACTGACCAGTAGCCAGGGGGTCAAAATTAGCTCTGCATATATCAACACAGAATGGTTAATATAATCAAGCAGAGTCGGTTAAGGGTCTTTTTAAAGGCCAGCAAAGTCAGAGCTATCAATATACTGCTGTTGTTCTGCAGGCCAGGCATTGGGTTGCATGACTATAATCCATAATATATGTATTATGGCAACTTTATGTCCTCTGTTGTTCAGACTGGATATGTAGGGCATGCTGATTGGGAATTCTAGATACTGCAATCCAATCACATCAAGAATTCAGATTGGGGAAATTAGATAATGAAGTCTTTTAAAAATTAAGAAATATGGAAGATCAAAACGGAATAGAGACTCCCTTTCACCCACAAATGTGAATAAATCAAAGGTGTCAACGTAAGTTATTAAGCAAGTTATTGTGAGATTTTTGTTTCTAAGAAGAACCAGGTAAATGCAAATGAGTAATATTGCTAAGACTGTAGTGAAGAAGATTTCTAGTTACAGTATGCACATGATCATATTAGCAGTCCTGAAAATTTCACTTAGTTCTCTGTTACATATGTGGGGGGGGGGGGGGGGGGAATTCAGACTATCTGAAATAAATAGAAGCTATTTTTCAAACTGAGCAAATCAAGTCAACTGTAATAAAATTGAATGGAATCATTGTCAATTTATCCGAAATCCCTCTTTTTAGATGATCCCCTGTCTTGTACAAATATTGGATTTCTTCTAGCAAAACTTGTGCTGGCAAGACTCAAGCTACCCACAATAGCTTTGCACAGCAGGCTCAGGCTTCAGGGGCCTACAGTCAGCTGATTACTAGTCACAGACAATTTTGCTGATATAACCAGAATAGTCAGGGCAAAACAGACTTGTATGTAAGGATTCTGCTGAAATTTTAAGATTCAACAGTTGTGCTCCAGGAGAGTCTTCAAACTAAATGTTCCTCTTTGTTTCTCAGGAAGGAGGGTGGTATGATTACAGAAGAACTGGACAAAACATAGGTTTACTCAGTCCACTTCCTTTAAAAAAAACATGCACTTAAGGGCAATGGACTTTAAACATGGAGTTGCTCAGAGAACACAAATATTTTGATCTTTATTAACCCCCTCACATTCATGTAAAGAAAAACTGAATACAGTTATAAATAGTAATCAAAGCAAATATGGTCCTAATTGGAAACCTATAATTAAGCTGTTGTGAGATTGTGGCTAAGAAAAACCACCAGGATTCAAAGTTGATCCAAGGAAAAAGGTTTTATTGTAACATTTCTGCAGAAACGGGTTCCTGCCCTGGCAGGTGGGAGGAACGAAAGGCAGAGCTTAAAGGCTCTACTTTTATACCCAAAACTACCCCCTACCACCCCCCCCCCCCCCCAGTATACAAATGGCTTGATTTACAATCTATCTTTCAGGATACAAGTTACATTTTATTATCTTTCATGGTGCCTAGCTCGTAACAGACACTTCTTTATCCGGTATCTAGCATTTCAAAGGCATTCCAAAATGTGTGAGAGTTCCCAGCACTTCAAAAACATTCCAAGATCAGTTCTAATCAGTGCTTGATTTCCTTACTTCAAAAGGAAAACCTCCCTTTTTCATCTTGAGTTTTGAGTCATAAAATGAATACACTTCCCACACTGTTAAATATACAGAATTGGGAGAATAATCCACTATCTTTTCCCTTATATGTACTTCAGTACTGAGAAAACAAGGATATCACGGAATAAATAACAGAGGCATGGTACTAGTTGCTAATTTATCTTGTCATGCTTTGTGCTGTTTTTCTAGCTATTACTCATTCAGTATTTTTGAAACCGTCACTCACAAATCCTGGGATTCATCTAAGACAAGATTATTGCTATTTACTATTTCTTCTGTATGCATGACTATAACTGTTTCAGGAAGGTCAGTGCGAATTTTCTGTTGGTATGCTTGCTGCTGCTTGTACTACACTACATTATCTCATGTTGATTGCAATTATTTCAATAAACCCATAATTTAAATCTTGTAAACAAGTGTGCATATGTGGTTGGAAAAATGGGAGAAAAATGATCAGATTAAAATCAGAAGTAACCTAGCACTGATTGAAAAATGGAACACATCTTACAGAAGTTATCATTTCAAGTACTGTAAAATAATAATCACTGATTGAGAATATTAACAAAATTTGAAGAACAGTGTTTAACATCATTTGAAATTAGAGGGATATCTTCAGAGGAGAATCAAGTAGCAATAGGGCTTTAAACTAGGATAAGATATGGATTTTTTACTTTCAGCAGGTTGGTAGAATGGTCTACTCCAGGGCTGTCAAACTCGCAGCCCAAATACCAGATGCATCACACCATACCCACACCCATACCCACGGAGAAAAAGTCATGATACATCACGTGATGATGCCATGACGACACGTGTTTGACACCCCTGGTCTAGTCAAAGGGTGTCCAACCTTGGCTACTTTAAGTCTTGTGGACTTGAATCCCCAGAATGCCTCAGCTGATAAGCTTGTAGTCTTAAAGTTGCCAAGGTTGGACACCCCTAGTCTAGTTAGTCTGTCATTCTCTTAGTTCAGGAGCATTGGAAGGAAAAATGCACTACATAGAAAAAAGTGCCAAGGAAGCCAATTTTTTGCTCATGAAGCAAAAGCAGGGTAACACACCCACCCACACAAAGAGTTTTGATATCAAATAAAAGCTGCTCTATATGCTTTAAAAAATTAAGAAGAGGATCTGGAATGTCAACTTGATGAGGCAGCTTAGAATTCTTTATCAAACAGTATGTAGCAGCTGTGGTAAGAAGTAGGGATCCTCAAAGATTAATTACTGAGAAGTAAGGCCAGTTTTGTGAGATGCAGAAAGTGTTGGTCTCAGCTGTCAAAAAATACTGAGAAGAGCACTTTTCAATTTGTAAAAAAAAAAAAAGGCAGATGCTCTTTTATTCGAAATCACTATTTTGGGGGGGAGGCTACACATATTAAACAGATCTGTTACACGTGTATATACTGTAGATGTACATAAAATAAGAACAACACGAATCATTTGCAAACTTTCCATGGAAGAATAATAGCTGTTCTAGAAATGGTTACATGATTTCTCAGCAATAGGGGAATCATTCCAAGGATCAAAACAAATCTATTCAGTTTCTATTCCAAGCTGAATAGAAACAGTAAACTTTAGTTTTCTTGCTCTGGAATCTCTCTTTCAAATTTTGTCAAGGCACCAGAATCATCTAAGTCTCGCCATATAGGCACAACAATCAATTCTTTATATTTAGAGGGGAAACAAATATGGGGAGCTTTAAAGGTATACAAGTTATTTGTGTTAGTTGGCTGAAGGCAAAATCAATTTTGAAAAGTTTGGTATGCAAGAGATATGTGAAAAACAAAACAAGAAGCAAATCATGAAAAACCATTTTATTGTATACAGATTAAAGGCCAGGTTGGCAATATAAAATTGCCAACAGTGTGGACACACCATTTGGGAAAAAATATTTTTATTGTTTTGATTGAGTCTAAATGGAGAGATAAACCCACTACCTCAGAGGTGACAAGACTGGACAATGTGTGGTTTGATTATTAACTGGATTGATGCTAGACATGAGGAGTGTACTTCCCAGTCAAAACTTGTCTGAGAAAAGGAGGTATTCAATTCATTCAAAAAGACCCTTGTTTTATTCTTCTTGTTTCTTTAAAAAATGATCAACTTGATATTTTTATTTAAATAAAGATTTTCTTTTTTAAAAAAAATAGGGGGCAACGACAATGCCTTTCTTATTGTGATCATCAGATTGGACATTTCTTTTACTTTGCGCCTTCATATTTTTCCAGACCAGAGTGTGAAAGCAAATTGATGGGGCACTTTAGAGGACCACTAGCTGCTTTTCTGGTGTTTCTGTACAAATGCAAGATATTCTTGAACATCTTCAGGAGAACCAACAACAAAAGGGACTCTCTGATGAATAGACTCTGGCTTTACATCCAGCACCGCCTCTGTGCCTGTGGTAGCTATTCCTCCAGCCTGTTCAATGATAAAAGCGATGGGGTTGCATTCGTATAAGAGCCGCAGCTGGAATATAAGAGGGAAAACCCATTATTCTCACTTTAATTTCTTTTGTTGAAACTATTTAAGAAGCAGTTGGAGAATTTATATCTAATCACAACAGTTTTTCAAATTATAAACACTCATACATATATCATCCTTCAGTTTTGAAGTCCTTGCATTGCTGTTTCTTTTTAAACTACAACACTAATAAATGCAGTGCAGTCCAGATTAATTTTTCCAACTCATTTCAATAGGAATACAAATTGCATTTTCCCCAGCAAAGAACAAGCATGATCAGAAAGAACAATAGTTTTGTAACAGTCCTACGTGCAAAAAAGTCCAGATTCAACCTTATAATATAAAACCTGGTAATAAATTCTACCTAAGATTTTGAAGAGTCCTGCTTCCCTCTAGGAAGGAAAATACTGAGGTAGGTGAACATAGAGTTTTAAGCCACACTTCATTTGAAGCTACAATATGGTTTTGTGTTTTTGGTTTAGCATGACATGTCAATCATGCACTCCTGCTTAGCATTACAGGAGAACATGGCCACATCTGAACTAGTTGAACGGTAATCTTTTCATCTATCCCTTTCCAATCAACATAGAGAGAGAATTTTGGAAGCTGAATTTCACATCACCCTAAACCAAAATGTGATGTTTTTAAAAAGCATGTATGAATCCAGATATGTCTTGGTTGATTGAAAAGTAATTTATGTTTTCCAACAACAAGATTCCAGTCAGTGTGCTTAGACAACAAACTATATTTAATAAATTATGACTTAACATATTAAGACTCTCTCTGCCTCTTCCTTGTTCCATTAGATTGTTTTCCATATAGAATACCATCTAATATTATATAGAGGTGTCAAACTGGATTTCTTCAAGGACCAGATCAGCATTGTAGTTGTCCTTCGCGGGCCAACCAGAGGGGGATGGAGGGGAAGAAGATAATACATAATACATCTCCTGCGGCACTCTGCTAGCCAAAATGGAGACAGGGAGGCTGGGCGCAGCCCCCAGCACCCCATTTTTGGGCTGGACGGCCTCCTGCCGCACTCTGCCAATCAAAACGGGGCGGGGGGCACATGTGCCTCCTGCACCCCATTTTCTCTGCCAGAGTGCTGCAGGAGGCCATCCAGGCCAGAAATGAGGTGCGGGGGGCCACACACCCCCACCCCCACCCCCACACACCATTTTCGCTAGGAGAGGCACGGTGGGCTGGTCTAAGTATCCCATGGCCGAATCCAGCCTGCGGGTCTTGAGTTTGACACCCCTAATCTAATATGTTCCTAAAATATTTATGTCTCTATTTAAGACTTATATTTCTTAAACCTTCCTAGGTTTGAATTCTGAAAAGCTTTATGTCTTCTAGAATGGGAGCAAGGGGAAGAAAGCATTGTCCCATTATTTCCTCATACACTTTGAGATACTTTCTGAAGCATGGACAACGTCATATGAGACAAACATTGGTTTGGAAAATGATATACATAGTACAGTGTGCATTTCACAGCACATTGTTCTAACAGGTAAACTATTGTCTGCTTGTTCAACCATTGTGTACTTGTTTAAGTAGCTTTCACAATGATCTGTAAACTTGCACAGCACTAATTTATAGTAAAAAATGTTCCAGGACTAATAAAGAAAACAATTTATTTTTTCTGATGTTTAAAATCAACCTGCACTCTCTCCAGAGGATTTCACATTATTATCACCTCCTAACTAAAAATGAGAAATCCTGAATTCAGGAGGACCTTGTCAAGAATTAGAGAATTGCTGGAGCAGAATCAAAGGCCCATTGAAGCCACTAGCCAAATGCCATTATTGAAACAATGAAGTCATATAATTTTCATAATAGTCTCGGCTGATGGTGCTATGATTAATTTTCTAATAACTGTGCAATCCTAAACACATTTACTCACATATATATACCATATTGTAATACATAAGGGTTTTTTGGTCAAATAATAAATGTGGGAATTGGGCAGAATATAAATTTAATAAATAATGATTAATATGCAAGTTTTTCTTGTATACATATTTCTAATTTTTACTGCAAAAAGCCTCAACTCATTTATTGGATTCCTTGTGATTCCTTGCATCAGTTGAACTATTCTCTAATTCTAAATCCTGATTTTCCAAGGAACAAAATGCCCACCTTTTTCATTAAAATTGTACTTTCTTATAATAAGTCAATTTAAAGTAAAAAAAATACCTTTCCTTTGGGACTTTTCTGATTAGCCGGATATAAAAATATCCCACCATACACCAGAGTACGGTGAACATCAGCCACCATGGAGCCCACGTATCTGGCTCCATAAGGAGAGGTACCTTCCTGTAAAGCAGAAGTACAGATTATATCAGAGTAGAATTGTTCATACTCATTACCTAGTACAAACCTGAACCTAATCTGAGGCATAATTCAGAGGGAAGAAAAATAATGAAATATCTAGTCTGCAATTTCCAACAATTATGTACCCATAAAATTCTGGCCATAGAAATAATCCCCATATCAAACAGTTTTTTGTTTGGCAGAAATCAAAATGTGGCAGAATATCATACTCTAGTCTCTCTGACCGAGTGCAATATTATAGCCCTGGAAAAACAGATTATAATATTAAATATTTTCAGGCTTATGAAGTTTGCAGAGTTATTTAATCTAGAATGAAACAGAGAGCAGACAAGAGAACAAATGGAGAAGTGCTGGCCTATTGCCTTTCTGAATTTCCACTGCAACCTCCCGTTCTCATTTTGTTATATCCCAAGCCACTTTCACTGCTCCAAGTGAACAACTCATAGATTTCCCTTTCAGATGACCAAAGAAATGGATACTGATTGACGGTTTGGAATGATTCATTTTTCCTTTCTGGAAATAGCTAATGGTACTTCTGCTTGGACAATTGGAAAGATAGAAGTCTACCATTTGATATTGCCCAAATGCTCTCAAACAAACATCACAGTTTATGGAGTTCTGAGTTAATCCTGTTGGTTCCATTCTACTCTGCTCATTTTTAAAGGGTAACTTCTCATCATGCAGATGTTTCAGAGTGTTTATATTAATTTTCATTTATGTTTTGTGGTTGTGCACCTGTGTTCAAGGAAGTCCCTACCACATCACTCAAAAGGGAAGATTCTACAATGAGCTGATAAACAGAGATATATTTCGTTTCCTTTTCCATCTTCACATACATACCCAAATAAATTTTAAATCCCATTCCACACCCCAAAGAAGCAACACAGCAACCATCAATCTCATATAACACAATACAGGGAGTCCTCAACTTACAACAATTCATTTAGTGACTGTTCAGAGTTACAATGGCACTGGAAAAAAGTGACTTATGACCATTTTTCACACTTACAATTGTTGCAGGATCCCGGTGATCAAATGAACAAAATTCAGATGCTTGGCAACTGAACTCATATTCATGATAGTTGCAGTATCCTGAGATCATGTAATCACATTTTGCAACTTTCTGACAAGCAAAGTTAATGAGGAAGCCAAATTCACTTAACAACTGTGGTGAGAAAGGTCATAAAATGGGGCAAAAAACTCACTTAAAATGTTTCACTTAACAACAGAAATTTTAGGCTCAATTGTGGTCATAAGTCAAGGGCTACCTATATTAGCAACACTCAATCTCATATTACACAATATCATTCAAGCCACCTTTTGAAAATAGCCTAAGGTGCTTGGGATGGGAACTAAGATCTACTGGGGGAAAAAACTCAATTCCTTCTATAATATCAACAAAGTTCATTGTTATGGCTTGCAGTTTCTTTCAGCAACTGGAATATAAGGGATATCTATTCCCCCCCCCCCCAAAGGGATGCTTTGAAAATCAATTCATCAGCTTTCGAGTTATTCCTTGATTCAACTGTATTTCTTTAAAACAACTTGATAGCTTTGGTTTCCGTCTTAGTGGCTTAAGCTTAAGTGTCTTTTTCCTTGAAACAATTTCACACAGGAAGGACACAGGAAGCAACCCATGGGGCAATATGCAAGGGATGGGAATTTTCAAAAGTTCCAACCATCAAATATTTAGTGCTGGCTCAGGAATTCTGGGGTTTGAAGTCCACAGGTTGCAAAGTTGTCATAACTGACCAAGTCTGATCTAAGGGAAGATTTCAGCTCCCCTTCTTAAGAACTTAATAGCAATGTGTATCTGATCATTTCAGTTGACAGTGATGTAATAAGTACAGTGAAGTCAAAAATTATAGAGTAAATAAGATTGTAATTTCATTTCCTACAATCTTTTACAATTGTATTTATAACACAGCGATGGGAAAAGCTACCCACGTGCTTTTTACCCAATACGCTGAGTTTTGTGGAAAGATAACAGTGCAATTCTACTGGTTAATCCCCTACAGAGCAAGTGCAGCGGTTTTGGTGGTTTCCTACATTTAGAAGATTACAAATCTTAGCAACTCCTACTATGCCCATTGCATTCTATCTTAGATAGCAAATCACCTGATCAGAGAAGAAAAATACAGCATATTCTTACACAAAATCAGCCTTCTCTGACCTGATCTTCTCTGCATTTCCACACCTCAAAAATTCTCATCAATGGCCATGCTGACTGAAATTGTAGGGTGTCCATTCTGTAACAACAGGTACAAAAGCTGAGAAAGAATGAACTAAGGAAGTCTGATGCCAGCCATGGACAGATCATTTTTAATCCAATAAATCCAATGAAATAAACCACAACCAACTGCAATATGCGGTTTAATCATCCCTATGATTAGGATCACAGCTACCTTTGCTGTGGCTGTCTAGATTTACAATTTGCTTGTTCAATGTTGTAAAAAAACATTAAAATTTATTGTACCCTATGACTATTATTAAATGTTGTACCTTATGATTCTTGACTCCTGACGAATGTATCTTTTCTGTTATGTATATACTGAGAGCATTTGCACCAAGACAAATTCCTTGTGTGTCCAATCACACTTGTCCAATAAAAGAATTCTAATTCTAAAATAATTGTAAAGTTGTATAAAAGAAAGTAAGTAAACCAGATGACT